TGCTGATCCCCCATTAGGTGCAGATAGCAGCCCTGTTGTGTGGCCAGGGATTGGAGGCCACAGACCAGGGGATGTCCAACAGGGTGAGTGGAACAGGATGACAAGGTCCAGAATCTGTCTTTGTATTGTGTTTGTCCCTTTGCAGACTCGTACCAACGGCCATGGCAGGAACAGCAGATCATAAACAGAGGAAAAAGTGGTAGTACCTGAATTTGGGGAGACTCTTCTATTTGCAGGGCGGGAGAACATCCTTCCCCTCTTTCCTAGGAAGCCCCTCTCCCATTTCCCCAATATCTGCCACAGACTATGGAGCACAGAGGCTGGTTTACAAGCCCAGGCTACTCTTTGGCCACTCTTTGGTGAAAGATTAAGCTTTCACCTCCTGTTACCATGTCTCCTGCGTCACTGACTTTATCAAACAGCAGCAGAATCGAACCCTATTCTTCTTGCATGAATACCAAGATGAAGTAAGTGCCTCCATGAAAAGCTCCAGAGCCGAGGAGAACAATAGTTACAGACAGTGTCACGGCCTGGTGCAGAGTGCTGGGCAGCATGGGAGAGCAGAAGCTGAGTGAAAGGCATCATGGGAACACTGACGGTAAGTTCCAGATTCTTGGTACAAAGGAAGAGGAGGAAGAGTCAGGAAGAAAAGCAGGTGTACAGGCCAGATCTTAAAAGACCACCAGGAAGCAGGGAGGAGATGGAGAAGAGCAGGCATTCCATGAAATAGGTTAAAGGAAGCACGGTGTGTTTTCCAAACAGCAGGACAAGCACACAGGAGGCAGCAGACCAGTCAAACAAATGTCAAGACGAGACGTGGTGGGAAAGCCTGGGAGGCGGCTCAGCTGGTAGAGTGCTTGCCTGGATATGTGAAGCCAGAGGTTCAACCCCCAGCACCACGTAAATTTGCTGTGGAGTTCACACCTGTTATTCCAGCACTTGGGAGGTGGAGGCAGGAGAATCAGAAATTCAAGATCATCCTCGGCTACATGGTGAGTTTGGAACCCTAGGGTACAACCGTGTCTCGTGGAATTGTCACACATTTAGCTGGTATCCAGTTCACCTCAACAGAGCATTTGTTGCAGCAGGTCACCAGTTATCACACAGGCTCACATAGCCATAGGGCACAGCCTCAAGCCAAACACCCGGGGTTTCTCTGTGTAGCTCTGACTGTCCTAGAATTCACTCTGTAGACCAGGCTGAACTCCAACTCAGAGACCCACCTGCCTCTGCCTGCTGAGTGCTGGAATTAAAAGTGTGTCACCACTGCTGGGCCTCTTCCTAGAGCCTTCCTTGTCTGGACACCTCTAAGCACATTCTATGCTCCATTCAAGACCACTCCTCCCTTTAGCTCCTCATTAAAAAGGCTCTTTGAGTCTGCAGCTTCCGACAGCCGCTTTTTCTCTTTTATCCTAACAGTTTTTATTTTTTTATATTGTGCGCATATATAAACTTGTGGTCACATGTGCCATGGCATGCATGGAGGTCAGAGGACAGCCAGTAATTCTCACTCATGCCTAAGCCTGACTGCCTGATTCCAAGAGCATCTGGCGGAGGAGTAATCCTAGCCAAAAAGGTAGACAGGCAGATCCCCGCAAAGTTTTCTGACCAGACAACCTAGCCGATATGGCAGTGAAGAGACTCTATCTAAAACTAACAAATCAATAAATAATAATAATATGATTAATTTGGGGCTCATGGTTCCAGAGGGCTGGAGTCCATGACCATCATGGTGGAGACCATGGTAGCAGACAGGAATGGTGCTGAAATAGGAGCTAAGAACTTGAATCTTGATCCACAAAGCACAAGGCAGACAGAACTAATTGGGAAGTATGTGGGCTTTTAAAACCTCAAAGCCCACCCCCAGTGACACACCTCCTCCAACAAGGCCACACCTCCTAATCCTTCCCAAACAGTTCCGCCAACTGGGGACCAAACACTAAACATATGAGCCTATGGGGGCCACTCTTATTCAGACCACCACAGACACCTTTCCATGCCAGGATGTGCAAACCTGAATTACAGTTTTCTGGCCTTTGTAATATTATACTACTGTGACACAGTTCACTTAACCCACTCTCCTACACATACACAGAGGGATAACTGCTTCAATTATTCAATATCATAACCAATGTTGCAATAAACAACTGTGCTCATGCAGCTAAGTAAATTCCCAGAAGTCGATTTGCAGTGGTGAAGGGTGGTATGATTTTCAGCTCCTACCACTATTGCCCACTTTGCCAGGCACCTACTTCATTATTCTGTGGCTTTATTTTCTCTGTTTGTAAATGAGGGAAAGTATTGACTAGTTCTCCAGTTACCCCTATAAATGTCTGGTGAGCCTAAGAAATACGAGGAAGATATTCCTATGGGATACTGTGTCAAAGACATTGTGTTAGTTCAAAACCCCAACTCAAGAGCCTGGGTCAGCTCATACTGATAGCCAAAGGGAAGCCTGCTGGTCCCTCAGTTTCAGGAGCTTGGGGCAAGTAGGGCCTGTGCATCCAGCACCCTGGAAGACCCCATGCTTACTCCTTCCACCATTTTTAGTAAAAGCCTGTGTTGTCATGAGATGGTGATGAGAAGACAGACAAGGCTACCCCAAAAGGGTAGTGAGGGTAGGTCAAGGGTGCACACTTCCACGTCCCAAGCTTGTCCCAGATTTCTGCTGCTCTCTCCTTTTCCCTGTACTGGATTATTTCTCGGCCCACCCTCGCTCCTATGCAGGAGATTGGCATGCAGGACACACCGGTCTATCTTAATGCCCCACGTGGGAGCCTCCAGCCCACATGGCCCACACGTCCTAGGAAGGCCACTTCTTGGAATGAGGCAGAGAGTAAATTGTACTTGGAATTTACCTTGTGATTTTGGGTAGCAGCTCCTGTTGGGCAGAGCAAGTTTACTGATTCCTAAAGTGTAGGTGACTTTTCAGTCCATGTAAGTCAAGGTCAAGGTACCTAAAAGTGGAACTCAATTAGCAATTCCATCCTTTATTTGGTAACAAGGTCTCATCCCAAGACCCCAGGATGCTCTTCAAATTCTGACCCCCAGCCTCCGCTGGGATTACAGGTATGTACCACCACTTGTGGTTTATGTGGGACCAGGAACTGAACTCAGGTCCTCATGCTTGCAAGACAAGCATTTTATCAACTGAACTAGCTCCCCAGCCAGGATCTATTTCACTTTTCAAGTTTGTATTTATTTATTGATGATGGACATTAAACCCAGTGCCTTCTCTCACGCTAAGCAAGTATGCTACCATGGAGCCACACCCCCAGCCCCAGTGGGATCGTGTTTTAATACTTATCTCAATAGCCTGGCAGCACAGATGGAGAACCAGAGAATAAACAATTGAAAGTGAAAGAAGGACTGAAAAGAAAAATGGCTAAGCGGGTAAAAGACTTGCTGTGCCAGCATCAGGACCTGAGTTCAAGCCCCAGAACCTACATAAAAGTTAGACTGGAAGCTTGAGAGCCAGCAGGTCTGGAATACTAAGTGGGAACAACAAAGAGACACACACTCCCACCCTCACCACTGCCACCACCACCTTAAACATTATGGAAAGCAAGGAGGGACACTTGACCTCTGTGTGTGTTTCACGAAATGTGCACGCGCGCGCGCGCGCACACACACACACACACACACACACACACACCACAAATCATAAAAGCACACATACCATACACAGAGAGATTAAAGAGAAAGGAAGAAAGGAGTGAACGAACGAGCAAAGTGAATAAAGATCACCTGCCATTTCGAATAGACTGCCTTGTGCCTGAAGGTCTGAGGACGCCTGGCAGCAGCCGTGGCTATCCTGAGAAAGCCAGGCTCACAGATGCTCAAAAATTCAGTTCTCTCATTAAACTTCTCTGCAACATCACTGCAGGCTTGGTCTGTTTGTCTATCTGTCTCAAATAAACCTGCACGCCTTCCCTGTAAGCAGATATGAGAGATACCCTGATTGTATTTCAAGAGTTTCATTTAAACTTAGATTCTGAGCTAGTGACGTAGATTGGGCTTTGTCTTGCATTCCCACGATCTGGGTGGTGATGAAGCACCAAGCATGTACCATCTCCCCCTGTCTTCATTCGACAACAGATCCCCTCTTTCCAGTGAGCACAGAGCTGTGAAGTGTCTTTGTCTAACGTGACCAGGGGTTCTCCAGGCATCAGCCTCACACCCAGAGGTTCCCACAGCCCTGGCTGCAGGATGCAAAACTGGGCACCCATGGGTGCAGGAGTTCTCAGGGTGACTCTTAGGCTAATCAAGGTTCAGAAAGTGTCCTCCAAACAGAAAACAAAAACATCCACCGAACATGGCTGGGCTCCACCCAAACAGTACAGCAACAAAATGGTGAAGCCAAAGAAAAGAAGCCACAACTCCATGCACCACACAGCTGCCCTCATCTGCACGGCAGGAATTACACACCGAGAAAATGCATGCATAGTGGCTTACCCTAAAATACATACACATCGCTTACCCTAGTAACTGCCAAGGACCAAACACCAACCAATAAGGACTGCCTTCACTTACATGATAGGAATTACCACTGGAAAATTAATGCAAAGTGGTTCTTCTAACCAAATCAACATGGACTCTTCCAAACTGGACACCTCCCTGCCTCACCCAGTGCCGTATGCCTGAGGCTTTCCAGGAGTGTATGCACCGAATAAGCTTATTTTCTTTCCTCTGTGGTCTTAAAGGTGATTTTTTTTTCACCAGCTCACTAGAATCCCCCAGTGTGAATAAACTCCAGCTCACCTAGCAGTTGTAAGGCCCTGGGTTCCATCCCCAACATCTCAATGCAAACAACGCAATACTGTTTGCACCCAGGTCCCTCTAGTCACAATCCAAGACCATTACTGCTTGCCTGACATTGCCCTCCAGGCTGAAATGAAAAACTCTAGGTTCTATAAATCAATAAAAGTTGTTCCAGGGAAGGTAAGACCAACTCCAACACCCCAGGTTACCCGACACTCCTGTGCAGTCGAAGTCCTTACCACAATAAGTCCTTTACTTCCAGCACACTCTCCACCTGTACCATCATCACCTCACGGATCCGGGATGATCCTGGATCACAACAGCCATGCTTCTTGGCTGCCCACAGACTCTCTGACCAGCTCTCCTCATCTCCAGAAGACCATGAGTTCAGACTCTTTCTCTGGGGCTGGCTTCATCTGCTGGAAGCAATTTTGCCACCCCATGTTTTCAGAAGTCAAAATCAGACGTGTTTCCTATTAAATCAGAGAACAATTTTCAATGTAAAGAGTGCTGGAGTTTCTATCCAAGCATCGCTAGTTCATGTCAAGACATGTAGAGTCCAGGAAACAATTCAGAACAGATGGTTCTGCTGTTATCTTTCACCCAGATCACCCTGGTATGTGTCTGTCCTGGGCTTGGCAGTCTCCAGCCTCCTGGTCCTCCCCACAGACAGGCAGGGACCCGGGCAATTAGTGCTGGGCAGGAGAGAAAAAGAAAAACTGGGCCTGAGACAGCTCAGCTGCTGAATATAACCCAGTCATAGGTACCACCTACAGTCCATACCTGCTTGGGCTGATCCCATGGTACTGGCACCCACTGCTAAGTTCTTCGGCAGACCTCCCTTCACAGGCTGGCCCAGTGGCCACTCCACAGTAGGAGTCTCATTTCCGTGTGGACTCAGATACATTTCTGCCTTAAACTCCAAAGCTCTACAAGACCCACTATGACGTCATCTCGTCATCCTCTGCAGCCACGCTATCTCTACAGACTTAGAGGTCTGGTCCTTCCTAGTTTCTGAGTTGATGAGATTTGGGGTGAAAATGCCCTGTGGGAGCAAGAAATATGATATTCTTACAAATGGCCAACCTCATCCAAATGTCATGAAGTACATATTATTGACCTGTCCTGCAGATAAACATCTATCCTGTAGAAAGGAAATATCTGAATTTAGAGTTCTTTCCGATTTCATGCTTTATATAGGAGAAGTATGCTACTTTATGAAAACTGCTAAGAGTTCTTGACAGACAGACAGACAGACACATGTGCACACACACACAGAGGAGTCAGGAAGAGCAGCAAGATAGAGTATAGTACATGTATTCCACAATGCATGAAAATTTCAAAGCAATACAGTGTGGCCCAGCAACCCCCATTTTTAGTCACATGCAAAAGAATCTCAGTCATCAGGCTGGAGACATCTGCACTCTGCAGTTCATTTCATTTCAGCATTGTTCAAAGTCAAGACATGAAAGTACCATGGATAAATGAATACACAAAGTGAGGTATAGATAATGGGATACCATATAGCTTGCTTTTCTGGGGGAGGGTGGATTTGTTACTGTAGTGGCAGTGGTGGGTGTTTCGTGGGTTTTTTTATTTTGTTTTTTGTTGCTGTTTTGTTTTGAGACAGGGTCACACAACATAGTTCTGTCTGTCTTGGAACTCACTATGTAGACCAGGCTGGCCTCAGACACACAGATATCCACATGTCTCTGCCTTCCAAGTGCTGGGATTAAAACATGTGCCACAACATCTAGCCATATAGTCTTTTATTTTTTATTTTTTTTGGTTTTCCCAGACAGGTCTGAGTAGCTTTAGAGCCTGTCCTAGAACTAGCTTTTGTAGACCAGGCTAGTCTCAAACTCACAGAGATCCACCTGCCTCTGCCTCCCAAGTGCCAGGATTAAAGGCGTGCACCATCACTGCCCAGCTCCATATAGCCTTTTAAAGGGACATTTTGGTGGGACTGGAGAGATTGCTCAGCAGTAAGAGCACCTAATGCTCTTGTAGAGGTGGTTAGCATTCCGGTGTCCCTGGCTGGCAACATTCCTGTCTTACAGATACTCAGCAGATCCTGTCTTCCTAGGGGGCCAGAGTCCCTGATGCTCTTGAGTAATTCTACTTATAGTTGGGTGAAGAGGAAATAAAATCTGAATCTAAATGAGACATCCAGGCCACCCTGGCTGTGCTCTTCCCTCAATTGTAGCAGTAATGTTCTTCCCTTGCACTGTTTCCATCATCTGAAGAGACCAAATCCTGCCTGATGCATCCCTATATCCAAATAGCCATAGAATTAAAACAATCTAAGGTTGCTGATGCTGCAGACTTCCCAGAGCCAAGATCATGTATCTCCCATCCTTTGACAATACACTGGCTCCAGTCTTCTGAAAGCCATGGCTCTGAAATAAAGAAAAGACTCTTACAGCCAAGCAGCGGAAGGGAGAGTGAGCAGGGTCTGGATTCCTGCTAGTGAGCCTGCTTTACAATAAACAGCAACGTCCTTATTTTTGCAGAATCAAGAGGTTTAGTCTGCAACAGAGAAGCCTCATGCCTCTGGACAACACCCCAGACACATGTCTAAGCTTAAAGGGACCAGCAATGTCGGGCCATATGGGGCACAACTTTGTTCATATGTCCAACAGCAGACCATCTGAACCTCTGAAACATGACACTATTGTGAGAATCAGATCTCTCTAGACAGCATCCCTTGAGCGTGGCAGAGGATAGAAGCCATGGTGAGAAGACGTGTGCCGGTCAGGAGGTAGAAGCAGGAGGAACAGGAATTCAAAGTCATCCTCAAATATATAATGAGTTCAAGGGCAGTGTGTATTTTATGAGACATTTCCTGAAGAGACGGAGTGCTAAGTGGCAGGAGGAAGACTGGGCACCCGTTCAACTGCATAAAGGGGAAAATTATGGGGGCAAGGACACAGGACAGAAAGGAAGAGGGACTCAAAGCCACCATGCTAGAGTTGGCACCTATAGTATTGTCCAATCCTGGCCCAATCCAGCCAAGAACCAGACACTAATGAAGCCACAGCCTGACTCCAGTCTAGCAATGACAGGCCTTTCAAAGACCTGAATTATTAGATGGAATTGATTTCAAATTATATTCAAAATGCTCAAACACAGGCCAAGTGATGGCACACACCTTTAATTCCAGCACTCAGGAGGCAAAGCCAAGTGGATCTCTGTGAGATCAGTCTAAACCACTTAGAAAGTTTCAGACCAGCCAGAACAACATAGACATATACTGTCCCTAAAATACATAAATAGCTCAAACACATGTCTGTTTGCTATGGCTTCCGAAACTGTGCCCTAGAACTCACATGCTGGCTGCTCCTGCGGGACCAAAACAATGCAAACACAGAAATGAAGTGTTAGCTTGGGGTCAGGTGGGAAGGTGCCTGGATCACACAGTTGTCCCGGCCTTTAAATTGGAAGCAGAAGCAGAGTAGGGAAGGACAGACAAACCTTCTGAGAAAGCCATCCAGCCCAGGAAGAACCTGGGGTGCAGGTACAGCCAGACTGGGCCAGGAAGCGGGGTCACACCAGGCTGGTTGTGGTCATCCGAGTCTCACAGTGACCTTCATGTGTACATTCATGTATATGGGCACATGTATGTATAAAGGTGTGTGTGTGCGTGCATGTATATGTACATGCAGATGGGGGTCAGAGGACAAGCTTTGGTGACATTCCTCAGGCAGTGTTCATCTTTGCCTTGGAGACCAGGACTCTCACTGGCCTGGATCTCACTCATTGGGCTAGGCTAGCCAGCCAGCCAGCCCCAGAGGTCCTCCTGTTTCTGGTTCCCTGGTATTGGGCAACACAAGTGTGTGGCACCACACCTAGCTTTACATGGGTCCTGGGGATCAACCACAGCACCTCGTGCTTCTTTGACAAGCTCTTCACAACTGAGCCGTCTCCCCAGCCTGTCATGGTGGCCTACTTAAACAATGCTATCTGTCAGACACACCCCTGCCATGGGTCATGGAATCATATCTACTCCGCAAACACACATGTATGAGTAGAAGGGACGCCCTGTACGTTAAGGCCATTTTGGTCTAACCCAAACACCTTACAGCATTAGCTCTCCAGAGGATTTATTTGGGCTCATGGTTTCAGGGGATTCCTATCCATCATGGTAGTGAGAACACGGCAGAAAGGCTGGGTCTGTGCGTGGCAGAGGGTGTCATGGAAGCTCAGACCATAACTAACCAGGAGGCGGGGACCATGACAGAACCAAGTGCAAGGGTACCATCTTCAAAGGCATGCTAGTGGCCCACTTCTGCCGTCCAGATCCCACCCACCCCCAACTATCACATGCTCCTAAAATAACACCACTGTCAGGGAGAGAACAAGCACTCAAAACATGAGCCTATTGGGGGCTTTGCAGACTCGAGCCAGAACAAGGAAACGGGGTCCTAAGAAGCAGAAGTCTGACACGCTGTCGCTTGTGGCCTTGCCGGCTGGGGTAAGAGATTCAGAGCCCACCATGTGCATTCAGAGCCCACCATGTGCATTCAGAGCCCACCATGTGCATTCAGAACCCACCATGTGCATGCCAGGCCTTTCACTTCACCCCTGGCCACGGCCACACGCCCCATCCTCACAGACTTCTCTGCCCACACTCTAGCTGCCCAAAGCTGAAGCAACTTCCAGAATTCTGGGGCCCATCCAGGCTTAGGTGGCAAAGAGGGTGGTAAACATTTGCTCATCTGAAAGAAAGATTTTTGGAACCTGTATGCTAAAACTTTAAGCCTACATGCTAATGTAAGCACTTTGCTCATTTTCCACCATTACAAAAGATCACAGAAGAGTCAAGGTGGAAGACATGTTAGCTGGCAAGGGCTTCTGGGACAAAGTACCACAGTCTCACAGTGCTAGAGCCTGGAGATCCTAGAAGTGCAGGCCCATCAGATTCCTCCTGAGAGATCTGAAAAGAAATCCGTCCCACGTCTCTCCCCAGCTTCTGGAAGGTTTTTCACTTTTTATTTTTCTTTTTTCTTGTGGGATGGAATCCAGGACTTTGTGCATACTGGGCAAGCCCTTTACCACTAAGCCACGCCCCCATCCCAAATCAGCTTTCTTAGTTTTCACACATTAGATCATGTGGTACATGTCTTCCTGGCCTGGCTTATTTCATTAACCCTACTGTCGTGCCTGCTGTCCATGTAACCCCATGAAGGCAGAAGACAAGGTCAGCGGGGGGAGGAGGGGCTAGCTAGCTGGTCCCTGAGACCAGAGGATGTGTGGGTTGCATCTTGAGAAGGGAGATACAGACACATCTATCTGTATACCTTATCTGAACCTGGTTTCTTGTCGGTTGTGGTGGCACACGCCGGTAGGATTTGCTGAACTTGGTTTCTGCAGTTTCAGTATTCATGGCTGCTAACCACAGTCAAAGATATTACATGGAAAAGTCCAGAAATAAACAATCTGTGTGAGTTTTAAGCCATGTGCTGCAATGAAACCTTACACCATCCCACTCCATCCCACCCAGGATGTGAGTCACACCTTTGTCCAGCATACCCGCTCGGTCTCTGCCACCTGCACCCGTTAGTCACTTGTAGGAAAGGGGTGCCTCACCCCCTCACTGTGTTTGTTCTTACTGGTCTTCCACCAAATAAGGATACTGAGGACAATTCTTAAAAGGAAATGGAAGTTTCCAAATGCTATAGCAGCATGCAGCCTTTCTCACAAATGCCACGGGGACAGTCTCTGCTGCCTTCTTGTATGCTGCTCATAATTGCTCTGCGACTTCAACACTTATAGGTAACGTCAGCCACTTCTGCTATGAAACCATTCTGGAATCTACAAACTCCCAGTGCAACCTTGGAGGGCGACACTTCTACCTGGGGGGTGAGAGACTGGCTGTCCCTCTGATAGGCTCTGTGGCTAAAGCTGACAGCCAGCCCCGCCTGCGGAGACTGAGCCAGAGGCTCTCTACAGCAGGGCTAATTTTAAATGCTGGAATACAAAGCCTGCTGGAATGACTGCTTTTGACCTTGGAGTCAGACATCAGGGCAACCTGGGACAACTTGGACCAACTGTAAGCAAAAAAGGGATTGCCTGAAGAATCAAGCAGACATTCCTCAGCTTACAGCCTGCTTATGTCCTGCCCCATAGCATCATTGTAAACCGAAAATATCATAAGGTGAAAAATGCACCACTTAGTATGCCTAGCCTATGGAACATTCTAGCTTAGACCCTCAGAAGATGATCCGACAGCATCGTGACCGTGGGGTTGCCCAAGAGCTTTGTTGGCTATATCCACTCAGCATCACAGCAGAGACCTGGAGTGCTTACCGCTGCCTGGAAAGACCCCAAACCAAAATTATAAGTATGCTTCTTACTAAATGTGTACTGCTTTCCCACCATATTAAAGTTTAAAAAAAAATCATTAGGCGGAGTCATTAGGTCAGGCCATCTGCCTGCACCGAGACTTGGTTTCTTGTGGTCCACAAAAGATAAAGCAGCCAAATATGAGAGCTTGAAAGGTTCTCAACAGTTCTTGTCACTCTAGGCACAAATCTTACCCTTCCCCCGCAGCACTCTCTCACTGGTACCTAGAGCGCTGAGGAGTATGTATGTGATTTAGTCATGGCTGCTGCCTTAGGTATGCTTAACAG